ATTAATCCACGTATATTATCTCCAGGGTACTTAGTTCTGATTAGAGTCGTAAAACATCAAAAACCAGTTAAACCCAGATGATAATCTGCAGAGCTATTTCCTTCATTAGTACTCTGATGCAGTATTGGTACTTCCAGCAACTTGTTAATGTAGAAAATATGTTATTAGATGCATTAATCCATGTTTCTAACTGTTTTCTTTCAAATTCGATATCAACCAGTTGGGAAAAAGAAGATATTATCTGCAAAATGAAATCAAAAAGCTCGCAGGGAAAACGAGCTCAAGCATCGGTATCTAGTGAGGTGAGTTTCTTTGACTATGGTTACATTCTTAAGTGGGATTTGGTGTGTGTGTGTGTGTGTTTACTTATGTGGTCCGTTGCCACCTGGTTTGCTTGCTTTGGTTTGCTTGCTTTGTTAGCTGTCCTGGTTTATGCTGGTTTTGTGAATGGATTAGTTGCTCTGTCGACCTTAAAACTGTGTGCATGCTACAGATTGTCCTCTCATTAAATTATTGAACCTGGAGGAGTAGGTCTCTGTACACAGTACAGCAAGTGGTGCTGGAGCTTGCGTGGCAGATTTTAAGGCTTTGGATAAGAATTGCTTGGGGGGTTTGGTTTCCTTCAAAGTCATAAAGTGTGTGGTGTTGCTTTTTCTAAGGTCTTCCCTATAGTTGTTGTTGCTGATGATGATGTCTGAAGTCTTCTTCTCTGTGTATGTATTCTCTATGTATTGTATGTATTGTTGTGTTGCTTGAACTTAGAATCACGGTTGACAATGCTAGCTCGAATGACACTGCAATAGAAGAATTGAAAAGTATTTTTGATGATAGAAAGATTAGCATGTGTGATGGCAAATTCCTTCACGTCAGATGTGTTGCCCATATAATGAACCTTGTTGTGATGGATGGATTGTCTGAGATATCTGTCTCTATCAAGAGAATCAGGGAGGCTGTGAGATTTATTAGGCAATCACCTGCTAGAATTCAAAAGTTCAATAATTTTGTTGCTCTTGATAATACAAGCAAAAGTGGCTTGTGTCTTGATGTTCCAACGAGGTGGAACTCGACCTTTTTGATGTTGCAATCTGCTGTGAAGTATGAGCATGCTTTTGATCTTTATCGATTGTCAGATAAGCAGTTTAAAAATGATCTTGAAGCTAAGAGTGGAATACCTGATATACATGATTGGGAGAGTGCTAGAAGAATGATGAAATTCTTGGAGCAGTTTTATCACTTTACTTTAAAAGTTTCTGGTTCACAATACATAACCTCCAACTTGTTTCTTCCTGAAGTTGGGAATTTGTACAATTTGTTGAAGAGTTGGATGGTTGTAAACAATGAGGATTACCAATTAAGCTTCATGGCAACGAAGATGAAACAGAAATATGAGAAGTATTGGGGAGATGTTGACAAGATGAACAAGTTGTTGTACATTGCTGCCGTTTTAGATCCACGGCGAAAGTTGCGCTTTATTGGTTTCGCTCTCAAGTGGATGTATGATGATGAGAAATCGGCTAGTGATTTGACAAGTGATGTTGAGGATGCTACTTATGAGTTGTATGCTCATTATGAGAATCAAGTAGGTGAAGCTTCATCCTCCTCTCAATCAGAACTAGATGAAGATGGTGGAAACGTGGATCTAATTGCGGAGTATATGAAGCAATTGCAAAAAGAAAGAGGTGTAGTCAACAAAACTGAGTTGGATAGGTATTTGAACGAGGAAGTCGAAAGATCAATGGATCCCAAATTTGATGTGCTAGGCTGGTGGAAAGTAAACAGCCACAGGTTTCCAACTTTGTCTAAGATGGCAAGGGATGTATTGGCTATCCCTATTTCTACAGTTTCGTCTGAAGCGGCTTTTAGCACTGGAGGGAGAGTACTGAATGATTTTAGGAGTTCTTTGACTCCTAAGATTGTGGAGGCCCTTATTTGTACTCAGGATTGGCTCCGCGCAGACTCTAGTCCATGTGTAGTTGAAGAAGATTCAGAGGAGATCGACAATATTGATGAAGGTAAGCTTTCTTAGAATAAAAATGCTATTAGTTTTGTTTAATGCTCAAGTTGATGGTGACATTTTATGAATTTCAGAGTTGAGCATGGTGTTGAAGGCTATTAACATATCTGATGTTCCACTTCCTTTTACCAATACCCCTCGTACGAGTCCTATTATACAGGCAAACGCAAACACGTCAGGTAATTGATCTAATAATCTTATACAGAGTTGTGATCTGCCTGTCCATCCTAAACCATTCATTCAAAGTGATCAGAATCTGAAACGTTTTATATCCGTTTTACAGGTGGTATGGGGTTATAACTTATAAGGATCCGTTTGCAGCCATGGGATTGCTTGAGAGTTGCCCGAATCTGAAGTCCTTCATTTCTTAAAACAGGATGCTGTAGGATGATGGCCACTAGCTAGTGCTTCTGACTTTGTTTTATTTAGAGTAATTTGTGTTTGAAGTTCATGTTGTGTGTGGAAGACGTAGTGATAACTGGGATTAATGTATTTCTAGCCCAAGAGGGCAAGCCAAGACTGTTGCCATTTGGATATTAGGTTGTGTCCTTCTTGTCTCCATGGGTACAGTTGCCATTTGGATATCATTGTCTTAACAGTAGAAGCAATCCCAGGGTACAGATTGTCCAAACCAACTGATACGACCTCAACAAACCTCGACCTGGAAAACCCTGCATCGACGAATATAACCCAGGAGAAGATAACCCAATTGTATCGATCTTGTCCATTGTTCGCCGTCGTCCACTGCTTCCGCCGCCGCCATCTCAACTTCTTCGTGGCCGCCTGTCATCGTTGATCACCGCCGACTGAGGAGGACAGGGATCGGAAACAAGAGGGGGGCCGCCACAGCCACTTTGATCAATTCCCGTTGGCATCGCTCGTCTCGCAATTGAATCTAAAGGGAGATTGAACTTCGCCCGAGAGAGAAGTGAACCAGAATCGGAGTTTCAGATAGAGCGAGAGGGAGAGCCCCAGTCATCGCCTTCCGTCCCCCCAACCGTCTGTGCGCTGAGCTCTGCAGTCGTGTTGCTGGATAATCATTTCAGGTATGGCTCCGCTTTTAGTCCGAACGAGTTAGTCCATAGTTGTATCTGTCGAATCTGTGATTGATGGCCGTGGTTTATGCTCCCATCCGGCTTGAAGAGCCCGAAATTCCTCTCCGAAGTTGTGCTATCTGTTTTCTATTTGTTTCATTATGAATTGCGGTCAAATCTGCGGTGCGGGCTAAACCGTACCAAACCGCTAACCTATGAGGTTTGGTTTGATCGCACCGATTATATTGCGGTCCAACATGCGGTGCGGTCCAATTAATATGCGGTGCGGTGCGGTTTGTATCAAAGCGGTGCGGTGCGGTGCGGTGCGAACTGCACCAATGCCCACCCCTAGCCACAAGGTGGCGGTGAGGCCGGAATGTGAATGTTGAGTTATTACAAATTAATTAACTCATTTTTCTTGATGGCATTGATTAATTCTGACCCGAAAAGTCCAAACCATTCCTCTAAAGTCTCTCTGATTTGTGGCGGAAGCTTTGACTGCCCGCAATGGCGGAAGCTTCTCGTTCACCATATCATGTATAAATTATATGTGGTCTTGCTCTTTTTAGTTTTCTACGTCGAAGGAAAGGAGAAATTATTGCTGTCCCGTTTCCGCCCCAATTTTGGGGTCGGTCGAACGAGCAGCAGCAGGTCATTAGTCATTTCAGCTTTTGTCTCGTTTCAAAGCTTGCAAATTATTAGTCCACAAACACGACGCTTGCTAAAAGCTCCTGGGCTGAGTTTCGATCCCTTCCAATTACCATCACTAATTACCTTTTCTTCCGGTGGAATTGCTTGATGCTAGCTTGCCAGAAGCTACAAGACTTTTCTTATGACTTGATCAAAACGAATCGATTCGAGTTTTTCAAATCAATATGATATATAAATAGATATCTGATGACAAACGAATCAATTTGATTAAGTTGTCTCAAAACGAAACAATTAAGTCAAATTGACACATTACAATTGCTCATCCAAATCCAAATTACTTATTCGTGACATTTATAGTTGATAATTGAGTTACTTATTAGTGGCGCAAGATTGTTTTTTTATCTTAATCTTCTTAACAATTTAAAATCATCCATGCCATAAAGTAAACTTTTTTCTATAAAATGAAACTACTTTACTTTTCACTAGTACTCAACAAATCTTACACATCGTATATTTATTTCGTTCACCGATTCATACTCTTTTTCGTGCTCCGCATCAACTGCCTTCCCTCGACACAGTGCACACCAACCCTCCATCAGAATGTTTGTTATAAACGCCCTGCTACGGATCGGGAAATCGCCGGAATTGACAAAGCAAGAATACGAAAGCGAGAATCGAAAACACGACACACGATTTACGTGGTTCACTAACACGATGTGTGTTAGCTACGTCCACGGGCGAGAGAGAGCCGATTTCACTATATCAAGGAGATTACATATTACAGAGGAGTATGAGAAGTATTTATAGCACTTCTCCATGTGGGTCTAAACCTAATCCAATCTGACAAAGGAAACGGTTACAGACCAGGCCCAAAATCCGAACCCGATTACCAGTCGTAGCGGCTGATAGTCCGATTCAAGTCATATCAACAATGTTCTTGCATAGCATTACATAACACCAAACAATACCACCACACAAAATTGGACCAATAATCTCCATACATGAGACAACAAACGCCATTAACAATCTAACATACAAACTCAAACAATTAAGAAATGTTAAAAGGGCACGGATAGCAATTCACTATAGAGTTTTGTAGTTATATTTCTTTTTGTAGTTAAAAGAACACCATACATTCAATGTGTGGACTAAATGGAATACATTTCCATTTAGTCGCATTCCTACTAGTGGTGGCGTGCCACTAATTATTCCAAGCGGAAAAGCAATATACAAATAAATAACCCATCCATCTCCTTGAACTCTAATTAGCAGCTGCATATAGCTAACATTTTGCTTCAGCCATGGGCGCCAAGTCTCTCCAGATCTCTTCCTCCCTCCTCACTCTACTCGTCCTCCTAACCTCCGCCGCCCTCTCCTTCTCTCCCGTCGCGGCGGCCGCGAAGCCGAAATCGCACGACGGATTCTCCCGGCGCCTGTCCCCGGCGACGCTCCGCCTCAAGAAAGAGAAGCTCAGCCACCTCCGCTTCTACTTCCACGACGTCGTCTCCGGGCCCAACCCAACGGCGGTGCAAATCGTACGGGCGCCTCCGCCCAGCGTCTTGTCCACGGGCTTCGGCATGCTGGCGATGATCGACGACCCGCTGACGGCCGGGCCCGAGCCCACTTCCAAGCTGGTGGGCCGGGCCCAGGGGATGTACGGGTCGGCCGCGCAGAACGAAGATGGGCTGCTGATGGCCCTCAACTTCGTTTTCGTGGAAGGGAAGTTCAACGGGAGCACGCTGAGCGTCCTGGGGAGGAACGCGGTGATGTTGCCGGTGAGGGAGATGCCGGTCATCGGCGGGAGCGGGGTGTTCAGGTTTGCTAGGGGTTACGCTCAGGCCAGGACCCGGACTTACAATCCGACGACCGGAGATGCTCTAGTGGAGTATAATGTTTATGTCTTCCATTACTGATAATTTCACACTTTCACATTTGGCCTTTTCCGATTATCTACTGTCGGGCGTCGCCCCTTTATATCCCAAATTTTGCTAATATAAGTCTCTACTCATTTATACTATTATTGGGTTTGTAGACATAAGCTGTTTTTTTTCCCGACACAAGGTGTGCATGACTCACAAAGATGTAACTGACTACATGACATGCCAGAGATAAAACTTCACCGTCCATAGAGTGATATCGACTGACGGAAAAGCCAACTCCGATACCCCTAAACTGAATTGACTAAGCAGTAGCTGGGAGTGGCCGAAACTAATCCACAGTGAGCTCGAAATAGCTCACGACTAATGATTTATAAGAGGACTACATTGAGATAACTACCATATCCTAACACTAATATAAAAGAGATTCTCCATGAGAAGGTACTTAATTCTAAATTTCGACTATTCTGAGAGAATTATGGAGGGACCCTTTTGTCCTTTTAATTAATAAAACCACTATTAAACTATTATTTTTAGTAACTGGGAGAATTTAGGAGCGACACTTTTGTTCTTTTCAATAATAAAAACCCATACAAATATTTCGTTCGTAACTGTCGCAACCGTCCCTCCGGGGGGGTCCGTCGTCGTCGCGTCGGCATTTTTGGGAGTCGCCATCGATCTTACTTGGAGTGGATCGAACACTCTTCGAATCGGCTCCGACCTTAGGGTCAGAACCGAGATATGGTCTGCGAAAATAAAGTTCTGGGTTCGGGAGTACGGTTACGTGTGGGGAAGTTAAGAAACACCCCCACAACGCCCTAAATCGGTACTACTTAAGTCTGATAAGTTTTTGCGAGTTGGGTGTATTTTTGTAATAATTTAGTAATTTTAGGGGTCCCACTGGACCATTAAATGGTTTTATCGTATTAGTTGTAATTTAATTATACATCCACTGACGTACAATTTAAAGATAAAGTTAATTGGTTAGTTGGACTCGAACCTTATCGGTTGCCTACGTACCCGTTAGACGGGATCAAAGTCCACGTAGTTCGTTTGTGACTTTGATAATTTAAATGTAACCACGTTCCACTGATCGTGATTCTCGTATTAAGAATTTTATTAATAAAACTTCATTTAGATTATTATGAGGTTATGATAATAAATTCAAGTATTTTAGTTATTAGGAAGTATTTTGATGTATTGGGAAAAACAATGAGATAAACTTAATCCGCATTCTACATTTCGTATTAAAGATTTTAAATGGATAAAACTAAACAGAATGATTAGCTTAATGCGTGATGGGCCAGCAGCCCAACGGGCTAAGGCTGTAGTTTTAGCGCTTTCATGTCTGAGGACTCGGGTTTGAAACCCGGTCTCAACAAATTTTGGGATTTTCGTTTTGATGTAGCGAAGGGGAAGGGTATTTTGGTAATTCCACAAAAACGCGGTGGCATGGCTGCGAAATAAGCTGAAAACCCTAGGGGCATTTTGGTCTTCTGGAAAGATATATAAACGTCTTAAACGGGAAAAAAAACAAAAGCCTACCCTAATAGACCAAATCGGCCGCCGCTCACCTCTCTCTCTCTCTCTCGTTCTTCTCCCAACTCTCTCTAACTTTCGCCTCTCTTCTTCACTCACAGAGAAAAGCGAAACCCTAGCCAAACCTTGCCGCCGTCATCCTCGCCTCTCGAACTCTCTGTTTCTCGCCTCTGCCCCAAGGAAACGAAAATCTAAAACTCACCACAAGCCGCCCACGGCCCCGACAAAACGACGACGAGATGACGACCTGAATCGACTTCAACCGACTAGAGGCATGTCGATCCAGGTAGGGATTTTGCTTGCATGTTATTTTCTTTCGCTTTATTTGTTGATTTTCAGGAATTTTAGGGTTCTAATCGCTTTTTATTTATGTTTTTTTGGATCTGGATTGACAGAAAGAACGGAAACAAATAACCGCCGCCGACAGACGATGACAGAGAAGAAAGCGCGGCGGAGGCGGAGTACAGATCCCTCGGCGACGGTGAGTGAACCCTAGGCGAGTTTCACGCGTTGCATGTCCCGATTTCTGTGTTTTTTTTGTTGTTGTTGATTTGAGGTTCTGATGTATATTTTTTTTGTTTTGGATTGGGGTGATGAACGAGGGAGAAGAAAAAGGGGGTCGCTGATGATGAAAGGTGGACTCGCTATCGGCTAGAACCGCCGGCAACGGGGTGAGAGGACCGATGAATTTTGCTCTTTCTTTTTATTTCTGTTTGTATTTAGATTTGGGTCAGTACTGACCTTCTACTTTTTTGTTTCGTCAGGATGAGAGAGGTGGGCAGGTTTGTTTAATGATCTCCTAAACTCAGTTAGTGTGATTAGGGAATTTGAACTAAAAAAGATTATACGATTTTTAGGATAGCCAACATATCTGGGTTTAAAAAAACCGGTTATGTATGAGTTTGTGTGAATCGAAATGGTATTTTTTGGACTCCACTTAGTATGGTTAGAGGTTAAAAATATGAAAAGGGGATTTGCTTGTTATTGAATTTCGAATCTGATAGTGTATCTTTGTTTTTGGTAAAATGGTTGTTTTTGTATGCTTTTTGACTCTTAATGTGCAAATCAGTTGCCTAAAAACGCAATTAGTTTTACTTATAATAGGCTAGATCATTAATTATCACAGCCACTGCTTGTGATTTTGTGTAGACTATGATTGCTAGATTATGGATTTCTCTGTTGGTTTTGAAATCTGGAATATAATGTATTTGGGTGATTTACGTTGCAAATCCAAGTTGATCCATGGACTTTTGAAAAGTCGTTTTTGCTTATTTCGAAAGTAAGCTATTTACAGAAATTTAAAACAAAAGATCCAACTCTTAAGGACAGTTATCTAAATCGGTTTATAGATTGGCATAGCTAATAATAAGCAAAAGAAAATACAATAGGAGAGCTTAATGAAACTGATATGAGCAGATCTTGGTAAATAAAGCGCTTGATTATGAATAGCTTGTAAATTAAAATGCTTGAACATAAAATCGCAAATAGATGGACGATTATAACATCATAATGATTGTATGGACTTGATAAAAAATGAAAGATGGAAATTGATACTAGTACTAACCTGAATTTCTAGGCCTAAAAATGGCCTTTTCCTGCGTCAGTCTTCAAATCTGCTCCTCCAATCTCGCAGTTCCCTCCAATTAACTTCGGCTAAGAGCAAGAACCGAAAAAAAACTGTTTGGAATGTAAATATTTCTATTTTTGTAGAGTGTTTTTTTCTTCTTCCATTCGCCCCTCCCTCTAAGCAAATGTTGAAGAGCTTTTTATAGCCAAATGGCTACTGTTCATTGGATAGATGTGGCAATGTTTGGTTAATCCATGGATGGAGGTGGCCGGCCTACTCTTTTTAGGGGGCAGCTGCCCTCCTCCTCTGGCTTGCCCTCCTTGAATTGCACAATTGTCTGTAGATAAGGTGGGTTGGGTAGTTGGGCCTGTTTATTGTATGTTCGTTGGGCCGAGTTGGGCTCCGAGATGGACCTATGTTGGCTGATTGGGCCTCTGGTTTTTGGTTAGAAACTGGGCTCGAGTGGCAGCCAATTTTGGGCTTAAAAAAAACTGGAATTGGACTAATTGGTCTCCTCATTTTTTTCAGGTAACTGGGCTTGGCTGACTAAGAAAGCTGGGCTAGTGGACCAGATTCATGCCTCAAGGCTCAAATATTTCACTCTTTGTAATTGTATATATACAAATCAAATTGTGTGGCCTAAATTTTGTAGAGTTAGCATTAGTCATTGTTATTAATTCAATTCTCGCTTTATTTAGAGGTCATTATCCAAGTTGTTCGAAAGTTGTACGATGTATCAATTTTGAATCTTTTGTAATAGAGCTCATTTAACTATTCAATTTGTCCCATTTCCAAAATCCAAACTCGAGAGACAAAATTTGCACTATAGTCACTCTTTCATCCAATTGAGAATTTATATTTATGATTTGCTACTGCTAATCTTAACTTAAACCGATCCTATCTTAACTAATTAAGCCCTAAAATCGACTAGGAGCATATTCGATAATTGTTGGTTCATATTGACTTGCAACTGCTAGTCTCAACCAAATTATCTTCAGCTTCCTTTTTAAATATAATCGTAGTACGACGTTAAAATAATTATTTTCAGTAAAACAAATATCCCGGACAAAATGTGGTGTCTACAGTTGCCCCCCTTTGTATATCTCTTTGTATAAAGAGTTATACAAAGTTTCTATAAAGACACCACATTTTTCAAAAGTAACTTTGACTATTACTATGTCGAAGACTCCAAAATAAGTGATGTTTAGAAATGTTGTTAGAACTGAGTTGTGTGTTTGTGTGTGATATTGAAGCGTAGAATTTGTTGTTCTACTTAATATGAAAGGTAACTGCTATATTTTTGAACACTCATCAGAGTCGTTGTCGTATTTTTCAAGCGCTCGCCAGCACCGATGTAGTTCTAAAACGTTCGTAAGCGTCGTTGTCGTATTTTTCAGGCGCTCGCCAGCACAGATGTACTTTTCAAACGCTCATTAGCGTTGGTGTCGTATTTTTCAGGCGCTCGCCAGCACCAATGTATTTTTCAAACGCTCATCAGCGTTGGTGTCATATTTTTCAGGCGCTCGCCAGCACCGATGTACTTTTCAAACGCTCATCAGCGTTGGTGTCGTATTTTTCAGGCGCTCGCCAGCACCGATGTACTTTTCAAACGCTCATCAGCGTTGGTGTCATATTTTTCAGGCGCTTGCCAGCACCGATGTACTTTTCAAACGCTCATCAGCGTTGGTGTCATATTTTTCAGGCGCTTGCCAGCACCAACATATTTTTCAAACGCTCATCAGCGTTGGTGTCATATTTTTCAGGCGCTTGCCAGCATCGATGTACTTTTCAAACGCTCATCAGCGTTGGTGTCGTATTTTTCAGGCGCTCGCTAGCACCGATGTACTTTTCAAACGCTCATCAGCGTTGGTGTCATATTTTTCAGGCGCTTGCCAGCACCTATGTATTTTTCCAAACGCTCATCAGCGTTGGTGTCATATTTTTCAGGCGCTTGCCAGCATCGATGTACTTTTCAAACGCTCATCAGCGTTGGTGTCGTATTTTTCAGGCGCTCGCTAGCACCGATGTACTTTTCAAACGCTCATCAGCGTTGGTGTCATATTTTTCAGGCGCTTGCCAGCACCTATGTATTTTTCCAAACGCTCATCAGCGTTGGTGTCATATTTTTCAGGCGCTTGCCAGCACCTATGTATTTTTCCAAAAGCTCATCAGCGTTGGTGTCATATTTTTCAGGCGCTTGCCAGCACCAATGTACTTTTCAAACGCTCATCAGCGTTGGTGTCGTATTTTTCAGGCGCTCCCCAGCACCGATGTACTTTTCAAACGCTCATCAGCGTTGGTGTCATATTTTTCAGGCGCTTGCCAGCACCAATGTATTTTTCAAACGCTCATCAGCGTTGGTGTCATATTTTTCAGGCGCTTGCCAGCACCGATGTACTTTTCAAACGCTCATCAGCGTTGGTGTCATATTTTTCAGGCGCTTGCCAGCACCAATGTATTTTTCAAACGCTCATCAGCGTTGGTGTCATATTTTTCAGGCGCTTGCCAGCACCGATGTTGTGGTTGTTATGGTATTTGTTTAGGACAAACCTAAACTGATATTATGGCTTGTTTGCAATTGTATGTGAAATGCAGATGTGAGATTTTAAGAAGTCATATGTCTGCAATTGTTGTAATTTGCATGATTCAACGGGTATTTGAAATCCAGTTAAATGTATTAGTTTTTGGGAATTGTAGTCAATGAGTGCATGATCCATTTTAACATGTGATGTTGTTATTTGAGGAGTGTCAACATGATTTTGATAATGATTGTGTGATGTGTCATGCTAATGAAGTCATGAATGTTAAGTGAGAGAAAATGATGATATGATGCTTCTGTCAAATGTTATGAAAATGTTATTTTGTTTTTTGTTTTGCGTTTTAACCCGGGGTTCCCTTAAATTGCTCATCCTCCAGGAATCGTCATTTCCTTTTGATCGACTTGATCCTTAGGTCCTGTTTATGTTGGAGCGACTTTGAACTTGTTGCCTTGAGGTATATCTTCTTGGTGATAGTTGTGCAAAGATATGCTTTGTAAGTTGAAGTGATGATGTACACCTCCTTAATCTTCTTGTTGGTCAGGCTTTGAGCGACTTTCGGCTTGTTGACTCGAATATATCTTCTTCATAGAAGTGGTGTGACAATATACTTTGTGGGGTGAGTTGAGGATGTGCACTGCTTCATTTTTCTTGGGCGGCAAGCTTGGGCCCACATGTTTCAATCGTGTATTTCTCTGTCTGTGTGGTATATTAGGACCTCCTTCTTTTTGATTGTGCAGTTAAAGGATTGAAGGATAATCAGTTGAATGTTTGTCTTGATGAGATCTGAATGCTCTCAGACTTCTTGAGATTTCTTCATCAACTCGTGAATGAAAAGTTGATTAATCTGATTCTTGGGTACTCAGACCTCCCCATATTCCATTGTGTACCAGTTTTGCCCCCAAAGATATATTGCTCACTTTCTAATCTTTGGAACAAAGAGTGACTGTATCAATCTTGACTTAAGACGAAAACAAAAATGTTTGAAAAAACGTTTATTAGAAAATTAAAATTGAAAGCCATGTTAAGACTTTGGTTTCGAGAAGTGTGTGCAAACTGGAGAAAACCGTTTTTGTGTGGTAGTTGTCATATTGCCAAATTTGGTTTTCTAAGAGAAATGTAAGCCAAGCCATGAGAATATCAGTAAGCCCTCGCTCTCACTCTTGCTTTTGATTTTGATCGCTCTCACTCCCGCTTTGGATTTCGCTCAACACTCATTCCTATAGGTGATTTGAGTGTACGACACTTCAGCTACCATTAAGATCCTGGTCTCCTTAAAATGTCTCCTTTTATGTTGATGACCAATAGTGTTCCTTGTGAAGATTTACTCAATATGGAATCCTTTGATGTGATTGATTTAGGAGACTTCCATATGGCGTTGTTGTAGACGGCCTTGATTTCCCGTGAAAGGGGATTTTGTCCGTTATGACTTTGATCGCAGGTGTCTTCTTGTTCTTGAAATGTATTTTGTTTAGATGGGTGACGGATGGTTGAAATCTTGATCCATATCCATATAAAGCTTCTCGTGGAGGGATTCTGCTCTGCCCCCAAATATGAGATTGGCTTGATGGCTTGAGAGCCACTATTATCTCGATCTTTTGTTGACGAAGACTTGTTCAAAAATGTTGGTGATTTTTGGTATATTTGGGGAGTTTATCTTCAACTAGCTTTGCCCCCCTGTCTTTGGAATTATGGTTCAAAAGCCGAGGTGGGGATTTTTGTGAGTGCAATATGGCTAGGGACTTGTCGAGATTCTTGTTTGACCTCTAAATGTTGACTGCAGTGGCATTTCGGCTTCAGGCTCTCTGTCAAAATGGTGAGTACCTTAGATGATGTGATTTTGGCTATAACGGCTTTCTTATCATCAAAGTTTACTGCTTGAAGGTCCTTCTTGCCGTATCTTGAGATTGATCGGGCAATACTTTGGCTTGGTGCAGACAGTTGGTACTTCAAAAGCTAAATAGGGGCACCTAGTTTGTAAGCCCCACAACATTTTTCTTCTTTTGGTTCTTTTTTTTTGTCTGTTTGTTTGTTTTTTTTTTTGCGTGTGGGACTTACTTGATTTTGTTATGCCCCCATCTATGCTTCTTTCTTCCTTGATCTATTATTTGTCTTTGGTAGGAGTAGTATCAAAAAGTGGAGAGTTTGTCTTGATGATTGATAATGTGGGTGCCTCTTCTCGTTGGCTAGGTTGAATAGACTATTCTTTTCCCGTACAAGCGAGGATTCTGAGACAATGTGCTTGTTTGTATAGATGAGTGCTTCACTCGTGAGACTCTAAGAGGGTTTTCTTGCTATTATAGAAATGTTTGGCTCCCTGCGCATCGGGGTTTGGCTATTTGACTTCACGTAAACTGTGCCTCAATTTGTTGTCGAAAGTCGACTATAGTGGTGACCAGATTCTACAAGTAGCATGATGTCGTATACTCATTACACCTTTTGACTATTAGCTCACATAACTCATGGTCACAAGTGTGGTGTTTATCTCTCGATTTTAGCAAAACACGTACACTGATAACACCAGTGGGTGCTCAAAATATTGATAGTAGCATTGTGCTTATAATCGCTCGACACCACTAGAGTGTCCCAAATCTCAGAACCAGTGGGGTGCTCACATTTTCTCGGCATGAAAATCTCATGGCTTAGCTTGAAAATAAAATTGGATTTTGATGGCTTTCATTTTTGAGAAAATAAATCCATTTTTAAATAAGAACCGAAGTGGCATTTGTTATTTTGATAAAACATTGATGCAAACTCTTAAATGAAGATTGATACCATTCACAAAATGCTCCGAAGAGGTCGAAACGTGAGAGACCTTTTATTTATGATGATAAAAGCAAAAGTGGTACATATTTTGTCATGGCAAATTATCTCGATATTTTATTTTCTAGATAGGATCAACATCATCCTTAAATCGAGCTTTGCCTCGTAGTAGGTCTACTAATTCCCATGAGTTGGCAGTGGGTTATTGTTGACATCCGGACGCTTTGACTCTTCTTCAAACTTCAACCAGCCGGCGTTCATCATTTGTTGGACTTTCATCTTAAGCGACCGACAATCCTCAGTCGAGTGCCCTGCGACTCCTGAGTGGTAAGCACAGTGTTGCTCTGACTTGTACCATTTTGGATATGGAGGTTGTATAGGCTCAGATGGTATTGGGGAAATTAGGTGACTTTGAAGGAGTTGAGGAAAAAGTTCAGTGTATGTAATGGGAATAGGTTCAACTTGGAGAGGCTTTTTGTATTTCCCATAATTACTTTGTTCTTGGTTATTTGGCGGTGGTGCGACTCGTGTCGGGCTCTGGATGGCTCGTTGAGTAGGAAAATTTGGACGTTGATTAATTATGGCAGAGTTTGCAACATATGGATGAGCTTGATCGACCTGAGGTTGATGATCCCACCTTCTTCCTCTTGATGATTCCGTTTGAGCATAATGGGCGTCTACCTCTCCCCTTCGGGTTTGATGTGGTTTCTTAGAGGCTTCTGGAATTTCCATTCGACCTTGTTTCAAACCTTTTTCTATTCGTTCTCCGATTACTAGCAAATCAGCAAAGTTGGTTGTAGTAATTCCTACCATGTTGTTGTAATATGGAGCCCTTAGTGTACCGAAGAAGATTGACACCATTTCTTTTTCTGACAATGGAGGCTGAACGTCTGCAGCTTTCTCTCTCCACCTCTGAGCGTACTCTCTGAAAGACTCCTTCTCATTCTTTTCCATATTCCTCAAATCTTCTCGGTCTGGAGCCAGATCCTGGTTATGCTTGTAATGTCTCATGAATGCATCGGCTAGGTCTTGCCACCTTTTCACCTTTGTTTTCTCTAATTGCATATACCATCTCAGTGCAGAACTAATCAAACTGTTTTGGAAGCAATGTATCATTAGCCTTTCATCTCGGATGTGGTTGGCCATTTTATTGCAGTACATGACCAGATGACTCTTTGGGCAAGTGGTGCCATTGTATCTTTCAAATTCTGGCATTTGAAACTTGTGAGGAATCACGACATCTGGGACCAGACATAGTTTTGATGCGTCCATAGGCTCGTACGATTCAACTCCTTCTATGCTTCTTATTCGTTCATTCATGTGTTCTAATTTTTCTTCTAGCATAGCTTCGATTTTATGTTCCTCTTGCTTCTCGGGTTCTCCGGATTTGTCATGCTTTGATGACCCAATGTCACCTTTGTCGCCTGTGTTCTTCGAAGGTATGAGGATGAATTTACTACCCGAGACGTTTCCCTGAGGTTGCTCATAGTGATCGTCGTCATCAAATACGATTTCTTCCTCGTTCATTGCAACCTCCTTCCCTTTTCTTGACAATATGCTCAATATTGTGTTGAGCTGGCTTTTCATCTCATCGAACCCAGTTAGTTTCTCATCGAACCCCACTAGCTTCTCGTCAAACCCTGTCAGCTTTCCTTTGATGTCGCTCAACTCTTTTTGAAATGCCTCCATGACGAACTCGAGCTTGGATCTAGTTAAGTACCAGAAGTCTTGACTCTTTTCTTGTGGACGAGCAATTTTAAGGAACCCTGATCAATTATTTTTATTAAATTGAATTAAATGAGTAATGAAGAGCATGAATGATGCTTATGCGATGCATAGATGCACAGATGATTCATTGGATGCACGTGCACTTTGAAAATGTTTTCATGATTTGTTTTAAATGCATAAATGAAAACACAAAAAGAGAATGATGCTTATGAGTTTATTTTTTCAAAGAAGAAAAGAAAATTCACATTGTTCTCACAAATAAATATATTGCGATTGGGAGAACATACCACATGTTATCACGTTAGTAGAAAACATACATATAGATAATAAAAACATAACCCTATTTGGGAAAACCTAGGGCTTTCGGAGGGCATAATGACGTGGTGCTAGGGTGGCTTTGGGGATTATTTTGGACGGCTTAGGGAGGTTTCTATGCTTACTATATGCTGGCAGAGGAATTCCTGGAGATTTGGCTCCCAAGTTGTATCCTGCCATAGCCCTTACGAACTGGCTGGATACCTCAAGATCAACCTCGGATCTGAGTTCAACTTGGTTGGAAAGTTTTGCGTGGTTTCCACTACTGTGAAAGTCACGGTACTCCTTTTCCGTTTCTAATAGGATAGCTCGGGTATAGAGCTTTTATGCATGAATGCATAATAAAATTGCGAAAATATAATTGCGCAAATAAGAAAGTAAACACCCAACATTTAATAGCAAAATAGAAAACTTATCGAACTTAATTATGTAGCTCGACTCTCGAAGTCCCCAGCGGAGTCGCCAACTGTCGCAACCGTCCCTCCGGGGGGGTCCGTCGTCGTCGCGTCGGCATTTTTGGGAGTCGCCATCGATCTTACTTGGAGTGGATCGAACACTCTTCGAATCGGCTCCGACCTTAGGGTCAGAACCGAGATATGGTCTGCGAAAATAAAGTTCTGGGTTCGGGAGTACGGTTACGTGTGGGGAAGTTAAGAAACACCCCCACAACGCCCTAAATCGGTACTACTTAAGTCTGATAAGTTTTTGCGAGTTGGGTGTATTTTTGTAATAATTTAGTAATTTTAGGGGTCCCACTGGACCATTAAATGGTTTTATCGTATTAGTTGTAATTTAATTATACATCCACTGACGTACAATTTAAAGATAAAGTTAATTGGTTAGTTGGACTCGAACCTTATCGGTTGCCTACGTACCCGTTAGACGGGATCAAAGTCCACGTAGTTCGTTTGTGACTTTGATAATTTAAATGTAACCACGTTCCACTGATCGTGATTCTCGTATTAAGAATTTTTGTTAATAAAATTTCATTTAGATTATTATGAGGTTATGATAATAATTCAAGTATTTTAGTTATTAGGAAGTATTTTGAAGTATTGGGAAAAACAACGAGATAAACTTAATCCGCATTCTACATTTCGTATTAAAGATTTTAAATGGATAAAAGTAAACAGAATGATTAGTTTAGTGCATGATGAGCCAGCAGCCCAACAGGCTAAGGCTCTAGTTTTAGCGCTTTCATGTCTGAGGACTCGGGTTCGAAACCCGGTCTCAACAATTTTTGGGATTTTCGTTTTGATGTAGCGAAGGGGAAGGTTATTTTGGTAATTCCACAAAAACGCGGTGGCATGGCTGCGAAATAAACTGAAAACCCTAGGGGCATTTTGGTCTTCTGGAAAGATATATAAACGTCTTAAACGGGAAAAAAAACAAAAGCTTACCCTAATAGACCAAATCGGCCGCCGCTCACCTCTCTCTCTCTCTCTCGTTCTTCTCTCAACTCTCTCTAACTTTCGCCTCTCTTCTTCACTCACAGAGAAAAGCGATACCCTAGCCAAACCTTGCCGCCGTCATCCTCGCCTCTCGAACTCTCTGTTTCTCGCCTCTGCCCCAAGGAAACGAAAATCTAAAACTCACCACAAGCCGCCCACGGCCGCGACAAAACGACGACGAGATGACGACCTGAATCGACTTCAACCGACTAGAGGCATGTCGATCCAGGTAGGGATTTTGCTTGCATGTTATTTTCTTTCGCTTTATTTGTTGATTTTCAGGAATTTTAGGGTTCTAATCGCTTTTTATTTATGTTTTTTTGGATCTGGATTGACAGAAAGAACGGAAACAAATAACCGCCGCCGACAGACGATGACAGAGAAGAAAGCGCGGCGGAGGCGGAGTACAGATCCCTCGGCGACGGTGAGTGAACCCTAGGCGAGTTTCACGGGTTGCATGTCCCGATTTCTGTGTTTTTTTTGTTGTCGTTGATTTGAGGTTCTGATGTATATTTTTTTTGTTTTGGATTGGGGTGATGAACGAGGGAGAAGAAAAAGGGGGTCGCTGATGATGAAAGGTGGACTCGCTATCGGCTAGAACCGCCGGCAACGGGGTGAGAGGACCGATGAATTTTGCTCTTTCTTTTTATTTCTGTTTGTATTTAGATTTGGGTCAGTACTGACCTTCTACTTTTTTGTTTCGTCAGGATGAGAGAGGTGGGCAGGTTTGTTTAATGATCTCCTAAACTCAGTTAGTGTGATTAGCGAATTTGAACTAAGAAAGATTATACGATTTTTAGGATAGCCAACATATTTGGGTTTAAAAAAACCGGTTATGTATGAGTTTGTGTGAATCGAAATGGTATTTTTTGGACTCTACTTAGTATGGTTAGAGGTTAAAAATATGAAAAGGGGATTTGCTTGTTATTGAATTTCGAATCTGATAGTGTATCTTTGTTTTTGGTAAAATGGTTGTTTTTGTATGCTTTTTGACTCTTAATGTGCAAATCAGTTGCCTAAAAATGCAATTAGTTTTACTTATAATAGGCTAGATCATTAATTATCACAGCCACTGCTTGTGATTTTGTGTAGACTATGATTGCTAGATTATGGATTTCTCTGTTGGTTTTGAAATCTGGAATATAATGTATTTGGGTGATTTACGTTGCAAATCCAAGTTGATCCATGGACTTTTGAAAAGTCGTTTTTGCTTATTTCGAAAGTAAGCTATTTACAGAAATTTAAAACAAAAGATCCAACTCTTAAGGACTGTTATCTAAATCGGTTTATAGATTGGCATAGCTAATAATAAGCAAAAGAAAATATAATAGGAGAGCTTAATGAAACTGATATGAGCAGATCTTGGTAAATAAAGCGCTTGATTATGAATAGCTTGTAAATTAAAATGCTTGAACATAAAATCGCAAATAGATGGACGATTATAACATCATAATGATTGTATGGACTTGATAAAAAATGAAAGATGGAAATTGATACTAGTACTAACCTGAATTTCTAGGCCTAAAAATGGCCTTTTCCTGCGTCAGTCTTCAAATCTGCTCCTCCAATCTCGCAGTTCCCTCCAATTAACTTCGGCTAAGAGCAAGAACCGAAAAAAAACTGTTTGGAATGTAAATATTTCTATTTTTGTAGAGTGTTTTTTTCTTCTTCCATTCGCCCCTCCCTCTAAGCAAATGTTGAAGAGCTTTTTATAGCCAAATGGCTACTGTTCATTGGATAGATGTGGCAATGTTTGGTTAATCCATGGATGGAGGTGGCCGGCCTACTCTTTTTAGGGGGCAGCTGCCCTCCTCCTCTGGCTTGCCCTCCTTGAATTGCACAATTGTCTGTAGATAAGGTGGGTTGGGTAGTTGGGCCTGTTTATTGTATGTTCGTTGGGCCGAGTTGGGCTCCGAGATGGACCTATGTTGGCTGATTGGGCCTCTGGTTTTTGGTTAGAAACTGGGCTCGAGTGGCAGCCAATTTTGGGCTTAAAAAAAACTGGAATTGGACTAATTGGTCTCCTCATTTTTTTCAGGTAACTGGGCTTGGCTGACTAAGAAAGCTGGGCTAGTGGACCAGATTCATGCCTCAAGGCTCAAATATTTCACTCTTTGTAATTGTATATATACAAATCAAATTGTGTGGCCTAAATTTTGTAGAGTTAGCATTAGTCATTGTTATTAATTCAATTCTCGCTTTATTTAGAGGTCATTATCCAAGTTGTTCGAAAGTTGTACGATGTATCAATTTTGAATCTTTTGTAATAGAGCTCATTTAACTATTCAATTTGTCCCATTTCCAAAATCCAAACTCGAGAGACAAAATTTGCACTATAGTCACTCTTTCATCCAATTGAGAATTTATATTTATGATTTGCTACTGCTAATCTTAACTTAAACCGATCCTATCTTAACTAATTAAGCCCTAAAATCGACTAGGAGCATATTCGATAATTGTTGGTTCATATTGACTTGCAACTGCTAGTCTCAACCAAATTATCTTCAGCTTCCTTTTTAAATATAATCGTAGTACGACGTTAAAATAATTATTTTCAGTAAAACAAATATCCCGGACAAAATGTGGTGTCTACAGTAACTTTTGTAAAACAAATATTAAACTATTACTTTTAGTTAGGAAAGATAGTTTTTTATATTTTTTCCAGAGTTGTGCGTGGCTATATATCAATATATGTTAGTTTTTTTATTTAATTTTGCTTTATTATAAGGTTAAGTGTTCTAGACAAATTTTATATGTGTGACTATTTTTCCATGAATATCTGTGAGTTTTCTAACTAACTAATTCTTAATAACTTAACTAAATACACCAAATATAACTTTGGATTTTAGGTTTTTGAAAAAAAAAAACAAAATAAAAAATTAAGGCCTTAAAATAATTGATAATGGTGAGAAGGTTTATGAATATAATTATCAATGATTGTTTAATTTAATATCACTTTATTTCTCAATTCTAGGTTTGTGATATATAGTTTTCTTTACTATAGCGGCAAATCAGAAACTCCGTTTGCTTTCTTTTTTCATAACTACCACTACTCTTCTATTGTTTTTAATTTAAGTTCATTTATTAGAGAGAAAAACAACATACCCACTAATGTACGTATCTCAATTGTGTTATTTTATTGATTCATGATTAGTTGTGAGTTGTAGACAATATTTGTTTAATCTAGCTCAATTGTTCTGTATAGCGAGGAAGCTAGATTTTTTGGAATGGCTATTGAGAAACAACTCAAAGATAATGAAAAATGAGAGAACCTTCACCTCCTCATCCCATACAAACCGAGTGCATGAAGTTAAATTTTCAGATCAAGCTCACTAATTACAACATCGCGAACCTATAAGTGGGTACACAGTTTTGAAGATAATGAACGATGAAGAAGAGCAATTTCAGACAAAGTTTATGACATGTACTAGGCAAATTTAAGTTCTTGAAATTAAATATTTGCTCTTTGTAAAATGCAAGAGAAGAAGGAAAAATATGCTAATAGCAAAGGTAATGAATTCAGTTATTGAGATAATGGCGTTGTATGAGGTGAAATTATACTACCGTGAATAGATGTTTCACATTGCCAATGAAATACAGGAGAAGAAAGAAGAGACTATTGATGATGAATGCAAAGTTTCTCTAATTAAGATGAAGTTGTGTGGAGAAGATGCTCTTGATGGGAGAGCAATGGAAAAGAAATACAAAAGAGAATGTACAATAATTTCCAACAACAAAGAGTGCTTTTTGAATATTAAGTTTTTGAGGAATCGATTTCATGCATGAGTTGCGTTGTTTACTTTTTATAAAGATTTTTGTCCATGAGTGATTAAGATGTTGTAAAACTTATAATGTATGTTGTAATGTTATATTTGTAATAATTGGATAATTTGGATTCTTTCATGGTATCAAATAATTGATTTGGGTAATTACTATACTATTGATATAATTCATCCGACCAACGGGCAGGCCCAACTCTAGTCTAAGCTATATATATTGAAAAGCTTAGGTTAAAACCTAAGGACGAGACGACCGAGTAGGCTTCTTCTTATGTGACACGACATTCAAGACCCAATACAATAGGGATTAGGACTCGGTTACTTAGTGAGATAGAAACAAGTAACCACATCATTATGTCGAGCCTAATGCCGCTTTAAGCGGTAGGTTTGTTATCACAACTACATTTTGGGATTGGAAGTATGCACGTAACTTTGAAAAAACACTCACAACCGCTAGTGTCGCCTTCTCAATTGGGGAATAATGCAACTCATGATTCACCATTATTTTGATTACAAAGTATACTAGATGCCCTTCATGGTTATTGGGTTCACGAGAAACAAGCGCGACACTGATGACAATTCATGAAACTGTGATTTAAAGTATAAAGTCTCATATTCTCGTGGCGCCGTCAACATACTCTTTGACTGGAAGATTTTATTGGCAACACTTCTCAGTCCACCTGAATTTTGCCGCATCCTGAAGTACCTTGAAGAAAGGCGCTCCCTTATCTACGGAACTTGATATGAAATTATCGAGCGCTACCATTCTTCTTGTTAACACAAAGCAAAGAGGTTCTACAATTTCATCAATCTAGGTACACCTACATTAACACAAAACCACTCACAAAACCAATGGCCAAACAATCCGCCATTCCAAACAACGACTTATCACCAAACCATGCTACACATACTTTCTTGCTATATTTGCTATTCAGTTTTCAAGCACAAGAGTGAGGGAGGTATACAACATGTACATGTTCCCAAGCTTGACTGCTAAGAAACACATTTTTAGAGCACAAACACTTTGTGGCAACTTTCTCTTCCTAGCCCTCTTTATTGCTTTTACTTTTTTTTTCATTTCTCTTTTCTTTTGTTGAGGGCTAGTTAAGAGCTACAAACACATGCCACATTTTTGAAGTTAAGGAACAATGCTCACTTTTAAGAACTACCTCCACACTCATTTCACATTAGTAGCAAAACCATACACAAATCACTCATGTGGAACCTCATTTAAGCTAAAATGGGATAATGGAGCTTCCAAACACAAGGGTGACTCGATAACGGTGTAGACACGAAGAAAGTAGGGTCGCTTTATCTAAATCTTTCAAGCTCAAGTAGCAAGAGCTACTTAACACGAGAGCGACCCTTAGACACATGGCTCAAAAGGGTTGACTAAGGGATAATGCAATCGGGACAAGTCAAAATTTGGGTCTTGGACTAAACACATGCCTCCATTTCCTCGCTAGCAACAACTTGAACGCTACACATCATGTAAAGGGGGATTTATCACACAAGATTCAAACGAGCGACACAAGTCTCACATGGCTACCTAGGTGCTCAATCATTCGTTCTAACTCCCTAAACTCAATGCATAAGACACTGTGAAAAACGAGTAATCAATTCAAAACATATATAAGTTCAAAAACACATGAGAACTGGACCCTTGCACAAACCTAATACATGTCTCAGTCATCATTATAGGTTGCACATAATCACAAGCAAATCATCCATAGACAATGCTAATAACCAAGAGATTCAAAACAATACACCACAAGTACCACTACGATCATGCAAATGTACACGTTATTATGCTTGGAGCCCTCAAATTTAAAAATTTGGGCATACAACTAGGCTCCAAGTACTCAAAATCACACCAATCATTCACACACACAAGCATTATAGACTACCCCCCCATACTTAAGCTCGACATTGCTCTCAATGGCGTAAAAAAAGGAGGTATAACGATGTTACAAGATAAGGCGTGAATTTTGGTGGACGGGAGCGAACGGCGAGTGAGATTCGGAAGATCAAGGAGACGACAAAACACCATCAAAAGTTCTCCAATGGTTGTCTTATTGAAGCGAAAAGAAAACAAACCAATTGTGGTTGGGTTGCCTCCTAACAAGAGCTTCTTTAATATCATGAGCCGGACGGTTTCTTTTCAAGTTTCTGTCCACCCTAGAACCTCCTTGCAGTTGAGGCTCTCTTCGATGAGGTAGTGTCTCAAGTCACGAGCATTGGACGAGCCCATAATCGAGGGCTTGTAAACTTGAGTGGTATTGAGCCTCCACCCACGAAACCTCTTCTTCTCTCTTCTTTTGCCCCACACCATGTAGACCATCATTGATCGACTTCCATCACATCCACCAAGAGGGATCGTCGATGGTTTGTCTTTGTCTTGGCAAAGAACCGCAAATGGGTCCTTCTCAAGTAGCGCGTCGAAGTCGGGTGGAAAGCGTTCGTAGCACTTGTAACTTGTAGAAGCTTCATCCACCACAACCTCGTCCTCATCTTGGACTCCATTTGCTCCTTCGATTTTATCTTCAACCTCCCTTCCTTTTCTTCAATTTGTTCCTTCCCATGGGAACAATCAAGATCTTCCTCATCTTCAATCCTCACTTCCTCCTCCAAAACTTTTCTTCTCGCCTTTTTTCACTCTTCCTCAAGCACACAGTGGAGAGCAAGTTGCCAAGCAATTTCTTCAATATGATCCTCTTGCATATCCTCTTTTGTGCATCACTCTTTAAAACTCAAAGCGGAAGACGGGGAATGGGGTCAACTAGAAAACGACTTGATTGAACACATCATCTTGGGTGCACTCTGGGATGTGTTCTTCTTGATCACCGATGTTCTCATTGGTCGCCTTTTTAACCTCCTCTTTCTCCTTCAATGATGAGAGGCTATAACTTGCACAAGCTCGTGCCACCTTCTCTTGCAATGTCAAACCGGGAGGAGGGAGGGGTTGGAAATCCTTGTTGGAGCGTGTTCTTTCAAAATTCTCCATGGAAAGCTCCAACTTGGACTTCTATTTGGGTTGTGGGAGATCCAAGTTCGAGCACCCTTCATTGGTGCCTAAAGCTAACCGCTCCAACAAGAGCTCCAATCCGCTATTTGGCTCCGGTTGCGGAGTGACACATAGTCTTGAGGTATTCCCCGTGAAAGTTTTCATTGCCAACTTCAAATTGTATTTATCCTCAACTTGTGGAGGGAAATCTTCTTGATATGGGGAAGCCTCTTCATATCCCCATTGGTATGGTTCTTCTTCTTGGAAAGGGGTTGGTATGAGAACCTGAATCCTTGACTTCCATCATTTTGATCATCCCATGAAACATTGGGGTAATCACTCTCGGGTGGGTGGACACTCCCATACATAGGTGAAATCATAAGGATCCATGATTCGTAACCTACACAAACAAAAACACTCAAAAGAAAATCAAATACACACAAACCACCATTCAAGACGAAGAGTGGGTGAACAAAATACAATCTAAACACAAAAACAAAATGGCTAAAGTAATGAGCTAAGCCCTTTTTCGATAACCTAGAATGCTTCCCCAACAACAGAGCTAAAAACTTGACTCGACTCTAACTACAACATTCCTAATCGACGGTCAAGTATAACCGGCGACTGGGTGTATCATAGTGTAGGAAAGCAATAATAATTTATCGAACCACGGGGATCTAACCTTACCTCAGGTTTCGGGTTCTTTATCTAGTCAACCTAGGGTAGTGATTAAGAATACTAAACTAATTAACCTAGCTAACCACTAACCTAGCTAATTACAAGTGGTGGAGCTCTCTTAGCTTTAATCCCCCTAGATCAATCGTTTGGATCGATGTTGAGTACTATCCTAACTCGACCAGTTCACTATCCTACCGTCAGGAGTTTGACTCACTCGGGAACGACCCGAAACGACAAAGTGATGGATGGGTAGGTGCTCTATTCAACCTAGGGATTCATATACCGCTAGGAGGTTGATCGAATCAACTCCCTCAGGGATTACCCGAACAACATATTATAGGAGTGACCCAAAGACGCCAATAATGGGCTCTAAGGGGATTTTCTCCCTCCTAGGTCAAAAGCTCAATTGACATTTAGTGGAATCTAAAATCATGCAATTCATGAAAATCATCCATCAAATAGATAATAAACAATCAAACAAAGGATTTGTCTCATACATCAACATAAATCCAAAATCTAGACCTAGGGTTCATCAACCTAAGATAAATGAGCTAGTTTCTAGAGAGCGAATAGAGAAATTACAAATTAGAGCACAAGATCTTCTTCTTCTTTTATGCTTGATTCCTTGCTTCCAAACTTGATCAATGCCTTCAATTAAACTCCAAGATCACTCAAGAACTCTCTCTCTCTCTCACTAGAACTCCCCTTTGGTGTTTTGGGTCAAAATCCTAGAGAGAGAATCTATTTCTCCTAAAAAAACCCAACTCCCTTTTCTCTCTCCCATTTGCTGTCTTTACAGCCTGATAGTCAAAAGTCACGGCCTAATGTCACGACCGTGACATCGGAAGACCGACCATGATCTCGAACCAAAACACAAGTGACTGCTAACATTTTGTCCGACCTCACGGTCTGTGATAAATTGTCACGGTCTAGTCACCTTGATAATGTTTAGGCCTGCGAGATGTGAAAACCTTTCTGATTTTGGCCATTGTCACGCCCTTGTCTCAATTGTCCTCGACTTGTCCTGATGCGAGTTGTTTATCCGACCCGAGAAGCATTTACGGGCGGGGTTCGAATATGGGGTACCCCGTGCATGATCCACCCCATTGTCATCCATACCCACAACTACTTAGCCCATAAATATCTAGCAATTTGTGATTTCAATTTTCTCTTTTTCTTAACCCACAACTAATTAATTAGTACAATCTATAAATAAATTTCACACACTTCACAATTCTAGCTAGTCGTAATATTTTGGCCAGCTATTAATTTTTATTTATTGAACTTTACTTCTTCACAAGCTTCGTACCATTTTAGTTGTGTGCCTAGACCCACTCTCGTCCCTCTCTTTAGGTTTCATCAAAACTAAGCTCGTGCTTCTCATTTGAATCATATAGTTAGTCAATCCCGACCATAGCCTTATTTATAATAAAAACAGCGACGGATTCTGAATTACTAAACAGGTGTGTAAGCCAATAAATAAAATAATGATAGACTACAACTCCATTGACAGGATTTGACCACAATTACTCTGGACATCGCTAAGATTACGTAAATCGAACAAGAGTAATACACCAATTTGTTCATTAATTATCACACCAATGAAAATAAATAAAAAAAGCCATGATCACCAACCTCACAAACAAGGACACACGCACACACATACACGTAAACAGAAGCAAAGCAAACAACCTACAACAACAATAACAATCTGCCGCAACATATGTATAGATGGTTCTATCGTACATCAGACAAAACCTGATATATATATATCATACACCACACAATCTTCACCGTTCGCATCTATCCCAACGACCCGCATAAATGAGTAATGATGGGAAACTAGTAATGGGAAACGTAGACGTCAATCTCGTTGACGACCAAGCTACGCGGGAGGTCAACCAGGAAAGGGTTCACGACGGCGTATCCACGAGCGAAGCGGAAAACCCCAGTGCCGCCGGCGATGGAGACCTCGCTGGCGGTGCCGGAGGTTGGTCGGACGGAACCCAAAAGGGACAGGGAGCTGCCGTTGTAGTCGCCGTACGTGAATGCGAAGCTGTACATCATCTCGTAAACGAAGTTGGTCGTGTCGGAAGGGAAATGATAGATCCCACGAGCGTTCCCCGCCGGCGCGGAACTGTCCGGGTCGGGGCCCAACGTCAGCGCGTCATCGTTCAAGGCCACCGTCCCGTAGAAAGTCGCATTGCTGAGGATTGGGGCCACGATCAGGGCCGTGGCGTTGGGCCCAATCCGTACGTTGGTCCAGTAAAAATGGAGGTGGGTCAGCTTTTCTCTCTTCATCAGCGTCTTGGTTGGAAGCTTTGTGGAGAAGCTGGTCTGGGATTCCGCAGTGGGGAAGGACGATGCTGCTGCTGCCAGTAGAACTAAAGCGGCCAGGGTTGCCAGAGGAAGAACCAGTACTGATTTAGTTGCGGCCATGATTTAATCGTGAAGCGGGTGATATACGATGTTTGAGATTTGAGAGACGACGAGTGATTTTAGGAACTTTTGGGTACAGCCTTATTTATATGGAAATATGGAGTGGAGCATATGATGAATGGGTCAGCCGCTTGCTCAATATTAGAGTCTAGCGAATTGGCATATATATATGGGTATCTCTTGTGTTTTTCGAATTACTTTAACAGGGTACTAATTGGACTCAATCCTACCAAATAAACTAGCTAGTTTATTCCTTGGGACTAATGAAAATGGTTAGGCATTAACCTACCAATTATTACACATGCATTCTAACGGGACGGCTCTTTCTTTTAATAGCGGTCCAATTACACATGCAGACAGACGGTTTGATGAATAGTAATCCAAGATTTAAGAGTTTTGTTTGTAACTCATAAGCGAGAGCTATCATAAGCGAGAGCTATGTAAAATAATGAAAAACTTTTAATTTATTGATTGCAGGTTAACCGGACTAATGCTGAAGTTACAAATCTACATCTATCTACAAAATATATAAAAGGCAAAACATGGGTTGGAACTGTCCCATTTTAAAATTTGTGGTCTGAGTTTGATTCCAGGAAAGTCATTTTTGTCATTGCACCCAAATCATCTTTATACAATAAAAATATTATCATTGGAGTTTGAACCCTGATCACGTAATAAATGAAGAAAGAACAATACAACCAACTAAGCTACATTATATTTATTGTTATTTTTTTATTATTAAACTCTAGAAATATATTTGGTGATGATACTTCTATATTTATATTTTATCTTAAGTTATTTATATTTTATAGAGAGAGATTAGTTCTGAAATCAGAACTCAAGTAACATTGATTCAAACATTACTATTAAATTGTTTGTGACGTTTGAAATATTTTATTTATAATTTAGAGGAATACTAATTATTTGTGACATCAATGGTAATTGGTTCAAATGTAGTATTTCATCAGGTAGTCAAAATCGAATACTGGGTGCATTTATGATTGTTTTATTCTCTTGGTGTTGTGAATATGTAGAAACTTAATTATTAAATGTATATAAGATATAACTATGTCTAGGCACATGGTCGACCTAGCACAACACAGTTAGTGCATACCATGAGTACAATATATATGGATCGGCCCTGTACAAGCTTGAATGTTTCATGGGTCATACCAGATTTAAACGTCAAGGGCTCGCGCACAAGTGAGAACACAACATAGTCTATATTGGTGAACTCATATTTTGTGGACAAATGCGCCATTTGATAAAAATAAAACAAAATATTCTAAAAATAATATATAAAATTAGAATTAATGAGTAGTTTTTCACATCAACGTGTGACAACTCATATTCTACAAGATTTTAAAATACATTCATTGTTTATTTTGAGACTCAAACATTTTTCAATGTATACAACTAAATACTCATTTATAAAATTATTATTATTGATTAAATTCATAGCCGAAAAGTCTTTTTCACAGCTTGCAGTAATAACAACAACGTCAACAATAACTTTAGAAGAAAGTAAAGTAAAGAAGAGATTGAGATTTAGTATCTCTTTGCAAATGTGAGTGTTGGGAGGGAGATTTTTTTGGTCTAAATGTTTTTAAGAATGGGTTGAAACACATATATCATTGGTTCATATATTGCATATTGAATTGGGGTATCTAACATTTAGAAGCGATATATAATTCTTAAATCAGTATTAATTTTCAGTCCGGTTGCCCAATAGCCTTGGACCTCTTGATAATCTAACATGATTGGATCTAATAATCATAAGATGAGATTTAGTTTGATATGCTGGTTGAAAACCATTTTTATGTGTACTGAATTTGTACGATAAATACATGTAAATAAGTGAAGATGAACCTGATTATGCATTTTGATTCTTTTGATAACTAAAATTTTTAAGCGATTAACTTACTATATACTCACTCGATTGGTTTAACGAGATTTGTTTTTATCACTTTTAGTAATTAATTTATTCATATGCTATCAAACTAGTATGCTTCGTCGAAGAATAAGCAGTCATCTGTTCGCCGGGTTTCAGGTGCTCTAATTCACACTATCGACTGTGAATGAAGAAGAAGCATATAGTTCGAATGCAAAATTGGAGAAGTACTTGGAATGTTTCTACGTTTCTCTCGATTCTAGATGGTGGGAACTGGGAAGAAAGAGGAAGGGAAATGGGGAGAGAGGTGGAAGAACAAAAAGGAGGAAAGCAAGAAAGAGTGAGATGACACATGACACGCTAAAACACAACAGCAAACTGCGACCAAGTGTAACCGCAGAATGAAAATGTAGTATAGTGGAATCAAGTAATAAATGTCAACCCAAGGCCTAGATGTACTACCTACTCCGTGGTTATCTATTATGTAGCGGGAAAGTTTAGTGAAAATGGGTTTAAACTAAAGCACAAAAGAAAGCAGTAAATTGTCCGGTTTCCTGAAGTAAGAGAAGAGTCACTCAGGAATGAGTCCCCCTAACTCCTTAGTTATGTCCAAGTTGTAATTTTCTTAGGTTGATTCACTTTTGATTAAACTGCGGAAGATCCGACAATAGTTGGAATCTCTTAAGCTGACCAAGCCCTCTTAGACAGACTAACCGGCAGACGACTACTCTTCACCGGGATAGAGTGCTAAGGCAATTAACACAGAACTCCACTACTGGAAATAGATTCCAGTACAAAGCAATGAATTGACTGACTCTCGTACAATCAATTCACTCCTATCGATTGAAGAAGCTCTAACAACCTAATGAGATTCTATCTATCTCAGGTTGCATCAGAAATCAAAATAAGTTGATCATGATTCAATTGACTCAATAAACACACTTCAATCGATTATAATCAGACAGTATATCAATCCAAAAGTCATTACAACTCAAATCCCTAACACATGGAACTAGGATTCTTCATACCCAGGTGAGAGAAAGGTCTACTCCATAGAGAGAGAGAGAGGAAAACGAAAATCAAAGCAGTCATACTCATAAAGATGAGAATAATCTGCTCTGGGATGTCAATCTTCACTCTTGGGGATGCAATCTGGGCTTCAATGATGAGAAATCCACTCCAAAATAACTCTTATGGTATGTTCTTCGCACTTTCTCTCTCTAGAACTATGTTTTTGCTCAAAAAAGTCGAATCCCTTTCCTTTGGCTTGAATCTGCCTCTTTCAACCCGATTCTGGGTGAAATACGGGCAAGAATACGGTCGTAATTCTTCCCTGCCGTATTTTGCCCAAAATGCGCGTTTTGGTTAAGTCGATGCGCAGAAATCCACGGTCGCGTATGGAAAAATACTGGCAGTATTTTGAAACTTACCGGCAGCATTTTGCAAATTACGGTCGTATTTAGTCTTCATCTGCCCGTAATTTGCTTTCCTTCAGCATTCTTCAAGGGGTAGCCTCGGTCATAAAAATACGACCTGGACGCTGGAGAAATACGGTCATAATTTTGGGAACCTTGACCGTAATTCTCACCTGAGCCTTCATCATGCTCGACATAGAAATACCGGCGGTAATTTGTGAATTACGGCCGTATTTTTAGGGAGTCTGTCCGTATTTCATTATCAGCTCCACTTTTGAGAGAATTTTGAGTGACCAAACGCCCTCTGATTGACCTGAAACTTGCGCCTATGCCTCTCTTTATTCGCTACGACCTGATATATGACAAAATAACACGACCTAGCGTAAAATAGGCCAAGACACCACAAATTTGAGCCAAAACGGTTAAGAAACAAAGGTGCAAACATGTGCAAATATGGTGCCTAAACTTAATAGATCTATATATTTATAACCTATTTTTTTGCATATAAGTCCTCAAAATAATTTATTAGCCAAAATTTTCAAATTGGATGTTAATCGCCATATATCTATTCTCAATCAATATTATATTGTCAAGTCAATATTACTAACAAAACTGCTAACAAAAAATTAATTGTAGGCTAATAATAGTAACAAAACACAATAACGGGTCATATAATACATGCTAATAAGCCATCTTTGCCCCACCACAAGTCGCGGCATGATCACCTAGTAACTAGTATATTTGTGTAAACTAATCCTAAATTTTACGTGTCTTCGATGATACCTAATAAGTAAGAACTCACGTCTCTTCTAAAAGAAAACGACAATTGTCTCCCTCACTCCCTGTTACATATAATGTATATTTTGGATAGATGGATCTCAAGGTTTGCTAGAGGAAGAAACACTGATTTAGTTGAGGTTATAAGATAGTGTTGCGGTGTTACGAGACAAGCTATTGCAACAATTTGACAATAGAGATTTCGGAATGCGTGATTTGGAACTAATTTTGCAAATCGGGTGATATGATGATTGAAATTTAAATTAAAAAGATTTGAGAAATGAGTGATTTGGAACTGTGGATCGAGCCTTATTATTACTCCCTCAGTAATTGAACTGAAGTGATACATATGGCAATATGCATATGGAGTGGAGCATGAATGGGTCAGTTGCTTGGTCACTTGGTCAACATTAGAGTCTAGCGAATTGGAATGTGTATCTATTGTGTTTTTCCACTTATTTTAACGGGTACTAATTGGGCTCAAGATAGGGTTATGCACCCATCAATAACCAAATCTGTACCCTTCATTTAGAAAGTCCAGATCTAAGGATGGAGAATTAAAGACTATTTTTATTTTTACTAGCTTTCTTAATTGACTCATATCTTTTTCATTTTAACTCGGATTTTAATTTTTTTTTGCATAGATGGAACGAGTTCACCGTGCTCTACAAAATGAGATCAATTTTCAATATTTTTTTAGGAAAAAAAAATCTGGCCTCTCGGTACCAACTGCATACCATATGGTATCTTCTTCGTTTTTAATTCGTTTTTGAAAACGTTTGCACAGCAGGGATGAGTTCATCATGATCTACTAGATCTACAAATTTCTGGGTGAACAAATTACAGGACCAAAAAATACCACACAATACCATACAATACCACCCCGGTACGGGGTGGTATTGTATGGTATCTTCTTC